CGTTCCCAGTCTTTACCATTCCACGTTCCCAATCTTTACCATTCCACGTTCCCAGCTCTGTCATTGGGCTTGTTGTCTTGTAGACCACTATAGTCCTCATCCTCAGTATCAGAACCTGAAGCATTTTCTTCTGAATCCTGAGATCCAGCTGTCCGTTCAGGTTCATTCTGATATGGTTGTATATCGAGTACTACCAATAAGTGTTCTTGCATTTCTTCAGATTCAAACATGTCTTCTGCTTCCATTTTAAACGAAAAACAGGAAGACAGTAATGAGGGTTTTGTAGGTTGTTTACAGTTGTTTGGAACGTAGCGGTGGCTTAATAAGCGTCCCTTCCTGTGGCGGTAACTCCGCCTCCAAAATATCACTGCACTATGGCATTTAGGGATAAAAACGTAAAAACAAGTATTTCAAGTAATAGGCTTGAAAGAACGATACCTAGTGTGTTTTATGTGTGTAGTTTACTAAATGACACTCATGTTATATCAGTMTTTTGAGATTTTATTTCATTTCTCCTTTAAACTCTGGTGAATGAACATTACAGCTTGTTTTGGGCGCTCGTGCCTTCAGCATTACACACATGTCCAGGACTATGGAGAGCCGTTTCATTCAAAAATAAATAAATAAATAAATATTCTATCAAATAAATAAATGTCCCTGTGAAATAAAACAAAATCAATAAAATTATAATACATTTTCAGCATATCTTTAATTATTTAATTTGTTTATTTATTACACATTGTAGTTTTATGTCATGACACTTTTATTTTGTAAAGCTACTTTTACATAACAGTATTTCAGGGACTTATTTTGAGCTCCCTTTTTATTTTAGGCTGTTTTACTATTTCATGTTGTTTTATTTCATGGTCCAATATGCAAATGAGGGGGCAGAGTTTTCTCTGTGGGTTGGGATTCAGGAAATGTTCTGTTTCACCACCAGAGGGGGGATTTTTGCCTGCCTGACCTTTCTTCATAATAAAACGTTCATTTTTGTAAATAAAACAAAGACATGTGTCCATAAATGAGTTGAATGACTGTCACTCTGTTATAAAGGCTTTGCAGAGATWCTTATGGTGGCTTTTGGCCAAATAGCCCCGATTTTATCACTCAGATTAAAAATGGCAATCTTTTTCTGGGTAGGTCAGAGCTTTGTTGGCCAAGCCGAATTGTTAAACATCTTTCCAAATGTGTGGCGTTCAAGTTTCGTGCAGCCATTACCTTCCTATCTTAAGTTATGGCTAAAATGGTCTTTTTTCAAATAGAGTTCTCTGCTGTCACTGGATGTCTGTTTATGTGCAATCACTGACAGACAGGACCGGTACCTGCTCAAAATCCTCGTATGAGATCAGGATCTTTTAATTATGACATCTTATCTAATAATTATGACAACTTTTTTCATGGATGTAATTTTGTTTTATTTGGTGAATGCAAATAAATTTGCATAGTTGAGAAACTTGGTGCAAAAAAAATTGCAAGAAAAAACATGAATTTTCAGCTTTAGTCTCATTTATGGACTTATGTCTGTCTTTTATTAATAAAA